CTGATAATGACCCACTGATAATGACCCGTTGATAATGACCCGCTGATAATGACCCACTGATAATGACCCGCTGATAATGACCCACTGATAATGACCCGTTGATAATGACCCGCTGATAAATCGAACAGGAATAGTAATCGCCCGCGTGACCAGAAGTTACAGGATCAATTTTTTGGCGATTGAACGAGAGGGAAAGCATGCGAGCTTACCGGTCGCTGGTTCATAAAACTCGTGTGAAAGATCTTCTTGTCATTGCTGTTGCATACGTGGTGTGGATGCGAGTGTCTGCGGGGTCAGACAAACAACGAACACATTGATCGTAAAGCTAGATTATTAGCAGTGAATGTAATTTGAGTGAATACAGGCCCATTAATTGCCCGTCCGTTCTTCTTTCAAGCTGGGCTAGTACGATACTACCAAGTTCCATTCTCATCATGCCAGCGAAGCGCCCCGGGGTAACAATTCAGCTTTCGTGCGTTGCTTTATATTTGGAGAGTACAATCGTTATATGCGCAAACCCCATCACAGACCGAAGTAAATATCGCCACGAGACGCATATGCGTTGGAAAATATCACGAGCATGTAAACTGTATTATTGTAATACCGCTGTTCGTTACCCCGTGATCGCTAGGGTTAATGCGTATTGATATCGGAGTTATCGCGGTAACCATCATATAATAAACTCAACAATGGCTGTACGTATTTCAAACACACACATCTTTACTACTTCCGAAATACTATATACATATAATATGTGCTCCGGTACGAAGCCGACGTATACAGATAGTTACGCGACATAAACATAGCTAACTTACATATTGCAGATAGTCTGAACGGTGGCACGGCAGATATTCTAAATGGTAGCACAGTATGGATACGTGACGTGTCGTGACTCGCGAGCGAACTGTAAGGGGCCCGGTTTCCCGTCTCGCCTGCTTTTATACTAATCCCCGTTCTCTGTCTCCAGCCCTACTCTCCCAGTGGTCAACCCTGGCCCGCGTGACCACTGGCCGCGGGCGTGACTATCCTTCCTTTGTTCTTCCTGCCCTGGCAACTCCCTACAAAGGGCTTTGTTCCCATTTTCTATTCCCGACTATTTCCCGAGTAAGTCTTGTAACTTCTTATTATAAATATATTCCTTATTACATTATGCGCAACATATTATATGTTACATATTATATATTATATGTTATTATATATTATATACAACATATTATATGTTACATATGTTATATGTTAATATTATATATATATAATTATATACATATAACATTATAACATGGTTCGTGCGGGCAGACAATGTGATGCATTGTCGATAACCAGCCCTGACGTGTTAGTTGTCGTGGCAGCGACACTCACTGCCTGGTGTTCAACGCCTGCCACCTGTCCGATACATCACCACTATACATCGTCATGTTCTTATAGTATTCGCGAAACCCTGATTTTTGTGAACCACCGCGATGGAGCTATACCTCGCCTACACCGTGATGCGACTTTCGCGAACTTTAAGCAATTTTTTTCTCACACAGCGTTGAGCTATTACGGGGGGAAAGGTGATAAAGGGCTCTAAATCGTTAATGAGTCAGTTAGGTGTCAACGCCTGTCAGTATACCGCCGTAGGGCCGTCTATCCGCACGTCGTCCAGCACATGTGTGTATTCCTTGTGCGCTGTGGATGTGTTTGTGTAAGCCTAACGCCCTGTGGTGGCGCCCCGAGCACACGAGCGAAGATTATCACTTGGTAACTTTTGATATGATATATATGATATATGATATATATATGATATATGATATATATTTGATATGATTAGTTGATTAGATATTCTATCGGCCGGTACGGCGTACATCGTACAGTGTACACAAATTGCACGTACGACGGAGATGCGATACCAGTACGTAGCGATACCAGTACGTCACGATACCAGTACGTAGCGATACCAGTACGTTACGATACCAGTACGTAGCGATACCAGTACGTAGCGATACGTTATCGTGAAGTGTACCGGCGATTTTTTTTATCGGAGAGGCTGTGTCGCGTGAGACAGAAAGAAAATGAGAAGGAAAGGGGAATGTCCAAATTTTTATGTATGGGAATGGAATGTTCTTACTTAGTGACAAATGTATCCATAAGGAAAGAGAGAGTCAGAGGCTGCGTGCGCGCGCCCAGGCAAAACAGCGCCAGCACACATTATTATAACATCGTATCAAGAGCGTATAAAGAATCTCTTTCTAAAGGAGCGTAAGGTCTCTTTAAGGCGTAATAAGAA